AAAATTAGCAAATTATTTTGAGTTAAGAATTCGTAAAAATTTTCTTTTTAAATCTAAGATTTGAAAATGTAATACAAGATTACTCATAAGTTTGTCTACCTTTATCAATAAAAAAATCTCTACCGGACAGTCAAATTAAATTTTTATGAGCGTTTGAAATTCAAATTTTTACAACATTGGATGTTCACTCGATTTCTCATGTAGCGATTTCCTTATTTTGTTGTTATTCATAAACGAATAACTATAGATACATGAAAATTTCACTGAATTTTTATATTAGCATTTCCTATACATCATACAATTTTGAAAATATTTTGACTCTTTTTGAGCTGTTTACGGATATTTTCATTTTTCAATTTTTTTAGTTTTTTTTCTATGAATATCAATAAAGTTTTATCTGTTGGGCCAAAAAGTGTAAAAATTTAATACAAGGCTCCTGATATATTGTTACAATATCAGTTGAAAAATATTAAAAATACATAGGCACAATTTTTTTTTATAAGCATTTAAACATCGAATTTTGACAGAATTTTTCAAAATCTCGAAAATTATTAATCATCGTAATTAATAAATTATAAAATGTTCAGTTTTTATAGCTAAGGATTGAAAATTTAAAACAAGATTCCACGTAAGTAGTTAATTCTCTTACCGAAAAATCTAAAAAATATACAATCACAGTTTATTTTTATAGTCATTTTATGTTCAAATTTGGACGAAATTACATATTAAAAAACCTATAGTTATTTTGTTGTGATTATATAATATTATTCGTGGGTACCTACTTGAAACTTTTAAAGTGTACCTACTATTATATATAAATATCTATGATAGTATCAGGGTTTGATATTAATGTTGATGTATAACGTGTTATAACTTATAAGTACCTAATGGATATTATTGTGATAATGTGATATGATTAATTTGAAATTTATTATAGGTCAATTTTTTTTTATTATTCCATCGATATGTATATAATTTGTCTTAAACCTAGACTGACATACCGTCATCGCTCAGAATCGTTTTTCTTATACAATTATATTGTATCATTGAATTCAAATTTAATAGCATCCATTATACAGTGACCCACTTGTAACCTACTGTACAGCAGAGCGACATCCACTTGCCCACCTTTTTTAGTTTGAACTTATACTATAGCTTCAATAACAAAGATAAAAATTACCTGTTCGCGTTGTTTCATTTTGTATAGATGTTGAGAGGTAAGAACAATTAAAAAAAATCCGAATGTCGTACTAGTGACTTACATACCTACTTATTCCCAAATGTTTGGAGCAAAGTTAAAATAAATTGCAGGTTACATTGCACAATGATTAAAATTACCTTAGTTTAATGCATATAATAACTATTATTGTAATGTTTAGTGCATGTGTTGTAACTTATTTGAACCTATACATAGTATAATTGAATAATATAATTTTTTTTTTTTTTAGTTGATTAAGTTTTTTTTAATACATTTTAAATTAAATTTCAATCCCCTAGATTTTGGATAACTTTTCCACTATGTGTTTTTGTGTTTTTGAAAACTATTTTTTTTCATGACATACATGATACATCTTGGAAGCAAACTAATAGATTGATGTTCGTAATGTTTCAAAAATTAGTAATATTAAAAAGTATAATATAAAAAAAACTACAATCTCTGATCTCAAAATCGTAATGTGCTACGATTGATATCAATAAATATATTTTTTGGAGCAAGTTTAACTCCTGGAGTAAAGTATCCTGCTCTTACGGTACTGAATTTTTCTTAGTTTTTTTTATAGGTAATATTTTAATATCTATTGGTAAAAACTACATTGTTAAATCACTTTTAAGGACATTTATAATTGTTTTTACTGTATTTCACTTCAATAAAAGGAACGCTTAATTTACTATTTAATAGGAATTTTATTAAATCAATTTTTTTTTTTTAATTTGGGTTTTATTGTCTTTCTATTTTAGAGGTCAGAACACACACTTACTGTATCACGTATTCTGTTCACTGTATTTATCTTTTCTAATAACTGATTGTTTTTCTATGTCTCAAAGTGCATGGTGCTTCACATTCATCAAATTATGAGTCATTTTAATTCGTTATAATAATATAATCATAATATTATCATAGTAATTATTTATAATGGATGATACTATACGTGTGTATCACGGTGGTATATTTTTCTCGTCATAAACATTATTGATGATGTATTATTATGTACCTACTCATCAGACAAATGCACATTGTGCATAATAACATATTTTAAATTGTATAATAATAATTAATATCTAATAAATACTCATACAAAAACAAAACACAATCCTAATTATTATTAATCAATATAGTATTCTTTTATTTTGATTCTTTTTTTTCTGGTTTTCTTTTTTTTCCAAAAAAATGTCCATAAACAAAATGGTTGTTTTGTGTTTTAAATTAATAACATTACACAAAAAATACATGTAAAGAAAACCCGCTTCAATACACCATATCATCATGTATATTATTATACAATGTATTTGGTACAGGCAGTATAATATATACAAAAAAAAAAACATAATGACTCGGTTTTGCTTAAAAAGTGCTACAAAGCTTGGCACAGTTAAAAAACTACCTAATATAAGTTACTTAAAAAAACTTAACATCATTACAAAAAATAATAATAATCATAATAATAATAATAATTATGATAGTAAAATGAAATATCTAAATATTTCATTTCATATCAGAGTTAGAAAAACTCTAAAAATTACAAAAAAAAAGTCTGTACATCAACAACAAAATATACATAAGAACATTAAAATTGCAAAGTCAATATTATTACACAGTTTTGTCAATTAACATTAAATAATAATGAGAAAAATTTATGTGAACACAATGGTTGTTTTTGATTTCCAGTCAAGTTGAATAAAAATGTTTATACTATTATAATATATTATATTATTCTACTCCTTCAATAGATATTAAATGTACATATTCATCAAACTATTACAACTAATAAATATAATTTATAATATTATATATTATCATTGTGTTGCGACATCATTTAGTTGAATTGCACAAGATAAAAAAAAAAAAAAAACTAACACAGCATGAAAATGTTTAATTAATTACAGAATTCGAGTTATTTGCTTATATTTTCATCTTTTCATTTTTAAGGAAGACTCAACGTTTACTTAAATAAATAAAAAAAATAGGGAGCTTATTATTATTCCATCGTTCACAAAAATGGTATAGAACATCTTTAAGTATATTTATATAATATATATTATAATAGTATATAGGTACTTCATGTATAAATTACCTACTGGCTTTCACATCAGGTACATATTACAACTGTGTGGTAACAAACTATATTATTTAAAACTAAACAATAATAGGTATAGTTAAATGTAAGTTTTACATAATTTCAACCTGTATGTTATATTTGATACATATTGCTATTACTAATATTCTTATTATTAATTTGCATACTTAACATACATTAGACATAATGAAAAAATGGGGTTGGATGACACAACAACGCACGCCAACATTAACAATAACAATTCACCTAATAATAAATCAATCTACCAAGATTTCTAAAATAACATTCTTTTTCTCTTTTTTTTATAAGCATATTAAAACCATATAATTATTATAGTGCATGCAAACAAACATATCATACTATATTATATTAAATATGTTAGCATTGTTAATTTTTTTTTTAAGTAAGGTTAGTGTATAGTATTGCAGAATTAAGGCACTTACTAATTTGTACTGAATTATTTTCTAGCTAAAGGGAATAAGGATAATATATTGTTTGTCAAAACTATATTCATAATTATAATTTTTAGTTTTTTTTTTTTTAATACATACTATATTTGAAAACATAATACTTATTCTACATTGTTGTCTTATAATCATTAAGGTTTATCTATTTATTTTTTTCGTGTACCTATATTAAAGTACTTTAGTACTAGGAAATGTATAAATATTATCTTATAAGTGATTGCTTTTTTATCATTATTTTTATTAATATTATTAATATTTGGTGCTGTATTATATGTAATATGTATGCAAATAAATAATAATTATTAATTAAACACTGTGGAAAAAAATATAGGAATATTGATTTTTCACAAAATAATAATGTTTTCTTTTACATATGTCACCATTGAAATGGTATAAATATTTTAAACACAATTTTGTCCATTGACTATTTAGCTAAATGTATTGAAAAAGCACACATTGTCAAAAAATTCCATTAACACTTTGTTTAGTATGAAAAAAAAACCTCAGCATTTATCAAGAACAGTCCCAAACAGTTGTTGAGACAGAATACCGTGTTAACTAGTTGCCAAAGTTTCTTCTCATATTCAACAGAGAAATAGAGAAAATGTTTGAAAATTTCACAGGTTAACTAATAACTCTACAAAAAAATATTGGAAATTCAAGTAATTAAATTGAGCTCCTTCATAACCATGCTCTATACACCATTTCTATTTTAATCTCTAATAATTATTGAAAGAAAAACAAACAAAAAATTGGCACAGCAACTTTTAACATAAATAATTTAAAACGAATAACAAAAAAATTCAAATAAATAAATAAAAATATTCCTAAACTAAAAATTCATAACAAAAAAAGGAAAAAGAAATATATATATATATATAATATATATATTTAAAGAAATTGTCAGAAAATTAAGAAAATCAAATTAACAATATTTTAAATAATTAGATTATTTACAGAAGACAAGAGAAATCAACAACTTAATATTGATAGACATAAAATAATAACAATAATAATAATTATTATTATTACTTTATGTATATTTAATATTTATACACATATATTATACTTGTAGTACTGAATAAATATTATAAAAAGCTTGTATAATTTATACATATTATTATTTTACTTTTATTAATTTTTTTTAAAGGAGAGATCAATTGTCGGTGGTAGCAATATTAAATTAAATAATAATAATTAATAATAATAAGTAAACAGCAGGCTGCGATTATAATAATCAGTCGATGGATTCCGATTTGATCAACACTGAGGTGGCTGTGATGGTAGCAGTGGTGGTGGCAGCCATTGTAGTGGACTGTAAATTATGAGGTGGAGGTGTTTTGGGCTGACATGGTGGTGAGGTTATCACGGACACTGGACTAAACCTCTTGTTCATCAATGGCAAACTATTTGATTTGCTATGTTCTTGGTCAATACCACCGCCGTCTTCCCATCGTTTGATCATCGTACAGTCGTCTACTAACAATGGGTCTTCTTTGTTCGTATGCCTCTTCTGTAACCAAAAAATAATCATACATAAAATAATTTTCAAAAGTATTTATTATACAGGTACCAATGTAATAGCATAGACAGGGCTTGATGGGCAGAAATTATGGGCTTATAAAGAGCACTTATAAAATGTCGCCACTTTTTTTTGACAAGCAGGGGTTAGGTTGATGTCCAGTGTTCAAAATAAAAATTATAACACATCACTTGTATCTTAAGTAAAATTTAAGGAACTTTAGTTTCCACTCGTTTTTTGATTTTCGAAACATATATCTTAGCTAGTTAAGAACTATGGTGAAAAACAAAATTTGCAGGTATCATAAGGTTGCGGTATACCGCCCCGGCGAATTTGACGAATTTTCATTTTTTTTTTTTTTTGGTCCTACGTATTTTTACGTGTTAACAACAGCATATAATAATTAAATATGACAAGTAGACACTAGTTGCTAGCTACGCCTACCAACTCCGATTATGAATATCCAACGAATAATCGAGCGTTACGTGGCAAAGTCAGCAATAATACTTCATCATATAATACTTTTTACTCTGCGTCGATTGGTAACACTAATGGCAAATCTCCGTGGGTTCCGCAGCAAATTTGACAAAGTCCATTTTCCCTCCTTTGTTATTTAATGTTATCGACATTTAACAAATTATATGAATACAGGGAATAACACCAAACTTCCACTATCAATCAACGAGAATAAAATATCAGAAATAAAGGTAAAACAGATTTTCGACATTTACCAAAAATCACTGCGTTTGGAGATTGCTGACTTTGCTACGTATAACGCCTCATTTAATATAATAATATGCCTATTACCTAGGTGTCGTACAATTTTTTTAATTTCTTATTAGGTGCTCAACAATATTCTTTTTAATACAAAATTTGTAGTACATAATATGTATATACATTATAATAATACCGAAAAGGGTAAAAAAATTAAAAATTAAAAAATCATGAACACTTCATAAAAGCAAAAGCTATCATTTTTGCTGCCTTCAAAAATTTGACGTTTGGGGCATTCATTCAATTCGAGCTACCCCTCCCCCCCCTAAACGAGCAGCTGCAGCATAAATGTTAAAGTTGACCATATAATGTTTATCAACTCTGAGTAATGACGTGCACGCACCATGTTCAATTGGTTTTTAAGTAATTCGTTCTCCCGGACGAGTTGCTGATTTTTCGACTCGACTTTTTCAAGCCGCAGAGCGATCCGCTCAACCAATCCGATCACTTGCTGTCGCGTCGTCTCCTTGGCATCGCTCAAGGCGTCTAATACAGCGGCCACTTGCTCCATGACACTGGCGGCTGTAAAAAATTGACAATTAAAATAAACAACTAATAAAATTCTTAATACATGAAAATCTGAACAGACAACGCGAGCTACTCGATAGAGCTTGATGGTAGGTTTACTCACCGACACTGTTATATCTCCTCTCGGAATCTTGAGTTGGGACGATGTCCTTGTTTTCCTGTTCTCCGTCGTCTTTGTATTTGAATTTCACCTGAAAGAGATCATCCGAATATTATAATATTATGATAACACGAGAATCAATAACACTCTATAAGAACACATGCGTGTACAATGTGTTGCCTACGAGCGCGGCGTGACGACATTTACTTACCGTCGGTTTGGCAGTGTTGTTGTTGTTGTTATTATTACTGCTGCTGTTATTATTATTGTTGTTGTTGATGATGATGTTGGCACTGTTGGCGTTTTGGTGGTGATGGTTGTGGTGAAGGCCCAAGAGATTGGATGCGTTAGCGTTGCCGTTATGTTTGGTGGGCGGTGCCAGCGCGACGTTCGGTTGAAAACTCCTGCTGAACTGTTCGGACTGCGTGTGCGATATGACTTTTTGCGGGTCCACTAGCCTCGGCGGTCTTTCCCTCTTGATCATACTGCGGTACGACACAAAAAAACAATTTTAAATTAGTGAAACGTTGAATAAAATGCATATCTGCAGTAAAACAAACGACAACAATTCGGCGACGTGTCTAACCTGTCGTTTCTGTACAGGTGATGCGTGTTGTTCATGTACATGGCCGCTGGTGGCGGCACCCATGCACCGTAAAAATAGTGGAATGGGTCCACCATGTAGTTAGGCAGCGTGGGCGCCATTCCCAGCGCCGAGTAGTAGGCCGCCGTGGGCACAGCTGGCGGCGGGTCCTCGAGCTTTGTCCTCTTCAGCGACGGCGGCGGCGTCTCTGCCCTGGACGGGCGGACGGTACACGAGACGGGCACCAGTTCCATCAACTGCAACAGACAAAATATATACCGATTAGCCATCAAACGCAGATGTTGTTTATTGGTTAATTATTTTAATTTTTAATTTTATAACCGTCGTCCGATTAAAATTTCAATATGATGGCGTAATAGGTATGAGCGTGTACCGCAGTAGCGGTAAAGTGTGAGTATAGAAACGGATTTTTGGTGGTATTTACATAGGATAGAAACCTCTTTGCGTATACTGTCTATATAATTATACAATGATATATACATTTAGGCTATAGCAAACGCTGCTGGGGAATACCATAATATGCATATACCCTCGGCGCTACTTCAGTAATGCCGTTACGATATCTCAACGACTGAATTATACAAAGAATTTCAAATTAAAATTGAAAGGTATTTTCAATATCTCTTTGAATCGTTTATTAAATTATATTCGTCGCTGCACCCCCATCCATTATCGATTTACACTCGGAACTATGGATTTAACCACATAGCTGAGCAATTTGTTACGCGCACATTGGCAGATGAACCACAATTTCGGATTATATCGATTCGACAAGTACGTGCGCGGAGCAACGCACGAGCTGCAAAAGTCGCGGTTGCGAAAGAGCACCTGTATATAATATATTAAACAATTTAACTTTTGACGACCGCAAACCACGGCCTACGCGTCGGATTCGTTGATAATAATAACATAATAATACGAGTTCGGCAGATTTCTCTCGGGTGAGATGGGGAAACTCTGTACCCGCAAAACCCGTTGTTGTTGCCTTGCCTAGATCGTGAGAGGAGGAGATGGAGGCGACGGTAATGGTTAATTAGACACGATGCCTATTTTTTATGATCAGTTATTATATTATATACGTGGTATTTTTTTTTCAAACCGAAATATACGCGTTCATTGCTCGTCGTAATATTTCTTCTGCAGCCGTGTCACTGTGACCACGAAACACGTCGTCGCGTGCGCAATTAGGACCGGAATCGAATTGTGTTAATGGCCCATTATTATAGTACTATCATATAATATAATAAAAACGAAGAAGGCGGCAGGTGTTTTGAACTTACCGATTGTCAACGTTTTCAAAACGTTCCTACACTGGCTACACATTCGCGGCAACAGCAGAAAGCAGAACAGGGTCGTTGGAATTACATTTATATATTGTAATATTCATATATTACAATTGATAATATTAAAATCATCATTAAAAAAAATTCTATTTATAGATATCGATGTTTATATATTTTTTTTATTCCTAAACATTTTTCAGGTGAAAGTACAAAAATATAAAAAACATTTTGTTGTATAATATACAGAAATATAATGTATATAAACGCACGTATTACCCGGGTCTGAGGTATGTATATTTATTTCAACGCGAACGTTTAAATCGATTGTTGTAAGCACAAAGCACCCTTCTCCTTTCATAGAATATATACGACGCAGAATATAATAATAATGTTGAAAAAAGAATTGTACGAGCAAGTTTATACACAAAAAATGGATATCAAATAAAAGTGTAATGGTTATGAATACGGCAAAGAGCTGGATTTATGTCGTGGGTACATCATAGTTATTAAAATTATTTAAAAAATGTCAAACTCTATACGTAGAATATACTCTGGGATACTCTGTATACTCTGGGATAACAAATCAAAACCATATAGGTGGGTGCATTTTAAATATTGAATCGTATTTTGTTTTTAGATCCTATACTATCTATCATTATTCATTATTATACGTAATTCAAAATGTACACCTGTAACACATTAACAGAATAAAAATACAAGTACTTGTAAAAGAATAACCTCGGAGATACTTTTTTTACAACAATTTGAAGTTTTTGTAAAGGCGACAAGGTACTTAGCGCTACGGACTAAAACAACAACAAAAGGGCCGTAAGTCTATGTATAATATTATCGGTACTGCAGATGTAGAGCGGATAATAAACAATGATATATTTCCGTAAATTCTGTTTGTTTTCCGATCGAATACCTATTATTATAGGTAGGTATAGTATGATATACCATATACGTGTGTATATATGCGTATCATCAACATCTCATCGAAAACAGGTCAAACACTGCGGCGGAGGAGGTCTGAGCGAGAAAATCGATTTCGGTGAAATACACCGTCGTGTCGTATATAGCGTGGTTGCGGCGGCGGCATCACCACAAACTCGACTAAAGAGAGAAAAATTGGCTTGGCGGCACGTTGAGGAATATAATCGATAAGGGGAGTGGTTTGGAGGGCGGCAAGCATTACACTACATGTCGCATATTAATAAAACTGTACACAAGTGCTATACACTGCACACAGTTCACACACAAAGACGTATAACTTTATGCGAAATGCAAAATACAAAATTGGATAAAATTAATTTACTATACCGAAGTAAACGATATTAAGCGGAACGAAAAGTCAACCGGGAAGACCGATATAACATAAACGGAAGCGGCGGCGTTCGATATGCTTCAAATGCCCGACGGCCGACGTCGTCCGGGCTACCCCATCTCCGCGGGTGCAAACCTACAGAACGTGTAGAAAGGTTGACGTGTCGGGGAGGTAGGAGGTTTATTTTCGTAAGCACGCTGCCCCGAGCTAACCGCGACACCGAGCACCACACTCAGGTAGTTAGGTCGGATGAAAACCATTTTGATCGAGAAAACAACTGCGACACGTAAACCAGGTATACACAGTGCACGTATGTCTGTCGCGAGCCAATTGTATGATATAAAATTATTATACTTATTTACATAAATACACTCACGCGAGCGAATAATGATACGATGATGATCGAAATCGAACCCCGGGGTGGCGTATTGATCCGTCTGGCGGTGACGTCACGTCCAGACGTCCCTTGCAGACGGCGGCGGCGGCGGCGGCGACGTGAAGCTGCCGCGCGCCGGACGAGGGTGCGCGGTTGCAACGGCCGACGGGGGGGTGTATGTGTATGTGTGTGTGAGACAAAGGGCAGTATAAAGTCGAGGGCGGGGGCGTCGGGACACGCGGCGGCGGCGCGCGGCGGAGGGTTGCCGGATCGAACCCGAGCGCATCGCGTCTGGCGGCGGCGCCCCGCAAAGTATACGTTTATATGGTGAGCAATGAGCGTATATATTATATATATATCATGATACTGTAATAAAATATTATTTTTATTATCATTATACTATACATATTACATGTACAGAGCGTGCACGGGGAGATACGAGTGCGAAAAATATAATAATCCGAGTGTGTGTGTGTGAGTGAGTGTGCTGAATATAATATAATATATGTATACTGCAGTAGGTGGCGTGGAGATGACGGGGCGAATTCACCGCGGGACGCTCAATATAATATAATACAATATATTATATTATATAAGCATATATAGGTACCTACGTTTACAGAAAAAGAACAAAAATCTCGTATTACACGCTACCACCGACCGAGTGTCGACCGACCGTGTTCGGACTGCAGTGCACGAAACGTGTAAACCGTAAAACGTCAATGGGTTATATCACTAATATAATATAACATTGTTATATACGATACGTGTGTATAATACGTATATAATACGAACAGAACATAATATAATATATTATAAATTATGTATAAAAACCGAGTCGACCTAAAGCGTATGGATCTTTAGACGGGGCAAAAAAAATATATAAATCCCTGTTAAACAGGGTCCCGGAATGCACATACGGCGTGTGATGGCCCGATTCAGTAGGTCGTTACGACGATGATAAACGTATACGACTTACGCCTGAGATGATAATACAAAAAAATATTTTATTTTATTATGTTACCGGGCGGTCGTATATACTCGTAAATTTCGCCGCATTCACCACCGCCAATCGCTGGACAGTGGTCTGGTTGCCAGTAAAGTGCGACGAGGATCGGGACCGGTACTATGACGTGGTGGGATGGGTGGTTGGTAATGATAATAATAAAATAATTATATAGGTGGTATATTATACGGGCACGTCAGGTTTTTACGAGGTATTTAGGTTGGAATGTTGGAAAGAAGATGGGTAATATAAATATATAATAATATATATGTTATGATATTTATTTTCTAAAAATTATATATAACATGCTATATTTTGAATTCGAAAGGGCGACTATGTCCCTTCAAGCCTCCCTCCTATTTGCACCATTGGAAATGCGACTTGTTTTTTGGGTGCGGGCCGCCCAAGTCACCCAACAATATAATACAATATCGCACATACATTTACGATTTACCTATAGGTTATTCGGCCTACGCACCTCTGCAGCCACCGCATTTATTTTTATAAATACGAATGCGTGTGTGCGTGGATAGCACGCGGCGGCCACGTCGAGATTTTACTGCGCGATAATACCACCGTATTTTTTCCAAACGCAGAACAAAGGATTTCGTTTTTTTTTTTTCAATATTGTTGTTAGTAAACCGTTCACGACGAATTATTGAAATCTCTCTAAATACTTACACAGATACACATAATTCAAGCGTATAGAAAAAAAAGTATATACCAACTTATCTCATTGTCGTCGCAAACGAGTTTTTTTTGGCGCCGGATGCAACACAATATTATATTTAAATCATGGTATATACAAGGTGATCCATTTAAATGTCTACACCCAATATTTCAATAGTGTTCAATTGTTTTGAAAAACTAATATTTTCACAAATTGTTTCTCATTACAAGTCTTTTTAAATACTTACGACCATATTTAACTACACGTTTGAAATTTGATTTTTTTGAGCCAATGTTTATGAGTACTCCAATAAATATTCTGTTTAAGAATATGAAGTTAAAACTGTATTTTGTCTTTAAAAAGTAAAAAGTAAAAGAATTATATAACGATAAAAATCGTAATAAACAACATTTTTTTAGGAATGACATCGAATTATGTACAATAATGAGTGAACATTTAAACGTATCACATTGTACATCGTGTTTGAACGTAAACTTTTAGATATACGATTATTACATTCCCTTTCCGCGGGTAAAATGATTTAAATAATCACTGGTAGGTATACATATCGGGATAAAAGAGAAAAAAATCATATATCCAAGGGCAATTATTACAACACAGTCGTGTTTTTTCAAGTCGTTTTTTTTTACGTATTTATACATTGACCGAATAACTTACTTATACCATTCGGCGAAACAATAGAATAGAGGGACACGCGAAATAGTCATATAATACATACTTATACTAATATTATATATATAGTAATGCCATCGGCGTATCTATTTCACGGAGGATTCGGCGGATTTCTTTTGTAGCCGGTCGGTTTTTGCCGACAAGACGTCGACAACGACAATTTATTCTATGTTGTTTATTATTTCTTTCTCGTGTGTTTGATAATATTATAATAGCTAAGCAAATATAATGTTATAATTCACAAGGCCAAATCCCGTTTTCGTTCCACCCAAAAGAATTGAAATTTATTTATTCCCTTAAAAATCCTACGACGAACGGCGCTCGCACACACACACAAACACACATATAATATATTTCCCTGTCATCCCGCTGCTGCCTGCAGATTGCGGGATGCGCAATAACACAGGTTACAAACCGGTTTATTGTTCGTTTTCCTCTCATTCCGCCGCCTTCTACTTTATACCATATACAGTATGATTCACCAACCATGCACCCCCTTTTTCTCTTTTAATAATGGAGTTATTCAAAATCTGATTTTTGGAATTTTTAAATACCTATAGGTACTATTAAGGATATTTTAAAACTAATGAGATTTATTTTTAGTACTTAAGCAGTATGCTGTGGAGATACAAACTTCTGATTTTCAAATGAGAACACCCTGTTTATATTATAAGTTATTAAGCAGATCAAATATTAAGATAAAAATTCTAAAAGTAGTATTTGAATTATTTACGTTTGCAGTTTACTAAGAATAACTATAGGTCCACAACTATAGCTCCATAATAATATCATGGAGAATATGATGATTTGAAAATGTTAATTATTATTATTAATCGATCAACACTTATAATTTGTAGTATTTGAATGGTCCAAATACTAAAATATATATTGTAGTATTTGAATGGTCCAAATACTAAAATATATATAGATTCAAATATGTAACATATATTTTCTATTTTTGTAAAAGCATTTTTACGGTCTATTATCTTTAATATTAACATTTTAATGACTTAGAAACTACTGGTTTGAATTTTGAATTAGGCATATCGAAAACATATATCGTTTAAAATATCAGAATTGAAATAAATTCAATATTAAATGGAAAAAATTGGGTGAGACTGCTTTGAGAATCTCCCTGTATATATTAATAGTATACTATATACTCGTGAATCGTGATATTCTCTCTTTGCACACCGCACACACACACTCACTTATCGTGTAAGGTCCCAATACCTGCGCACCGGATGGTCTCCTCCTTCGCGGCGCGCAATAATATTATATATATCGCGGGTACCCCAGAGACGTGTACCTTTGGCCGACGCCTGCAAACATCATCACGGTCCGCAGCCATGCACTCGGACGGTTGCAGTGACGGCGGCGCGATTATATATATTATTGTACCGGCGGCCACAGCATCACGTCCCGCATCTGTTCGACAGCTGTTGTTCGGCCCCGACGAGAGCATTTTTGTTATACTGGCACACACTTTTATACAATATAATAATATTATATTATGATATCCGCGCGCGCCAAGACCATTGTCTGCCACCACCGCTGCTGCAGCCGCCTCAGCCCCGAACGCCACTGCTGCAACGTAGTTTGCCGTTTTCCGTATGTACGTTAATCGTATACTATAAGGACTATACGTCCCATTACCAAGGCCGCCGAACCGTTGGCATTTATTTATTATTATTATTATTACAGTTATACGATTCGATTACAACACGAAGCATATATATATTGTAATAACAACGCGCTGCAGACATGATACCTATATAGCCACGTATAATACAGAACAGTCTAACAACCCGAGAAAAAAAATAAAATTAGTGGATGATAATCATTGTATACGGTTCAAAAACTGATCGTTCGAATCTGCCAATAGTTAGAAAACAATACGTACACCTGGTGTATTTAAGATTTTAAGAGGACGTCACACCAAATAGTTTGTAATGACGTCAGTTAACCACTCACGGAAATTCCTATAGCAACTATCAGTTATCAGACGGAGATCCGTCGTAAACAGTTGTTTCCGATTTATAACAGTTGCTATAAGTCTCAAAATGTGACTGTTAAATGTACGCAGAACATCGAGTACACCTGCAGATAGCATACCATGATCAACGTGGGAAAGTTAGTGATGATGTAAAACGTGAGGAAACAGTGGCCACCGATTTGCTTGTTTATTATCCCTCATTTATATTTTTTCATTTCCTAAAGTTGTGACTTCTTGCAAGAGACCAACAATGAATTGCAGAAAACCCTAAATCGTTTGTTTATAACATTGAACGAAATAATAAAATTATTGCCATTATAAAATAGCTCATTCGTTTTCTCATCGTCTATATATAAATGGGTTGAAACGACGAAACGAACAAGGGGGATTTAAGAGAATAATAGTAATAAAACACTAATAATCATTTATGATAAATAATTCTTAAAAGATATACAACGGTGGAAAGAGGTTTAAATGATGATAGGTACCTATGTATGTTATTATAATTATGTATTCAAAGGTAAATTTTTTTCTTCAATGTTTTACCACAAATTTAAGCAACTTTATTTTAATATTTACAAAAATGTAGCTATTGAATACAAAATAAAATCTAGTCTTTCTCATGGGTTTAATAATGAATATTTTTATATTATCGGTATTATAATATATATATATATATATATAATTTATAGGTACATAAAATAACACAATAAAATCTAAAAAGAACGCACTATATATATATATATATATAGGTGCGTAGGTTAGGATATTCCTATAACCCGCAGAAATAAGAAAAAATGAAAAAAAAATCCGAAATACAAAAAGAAACGCCGCCAATGGTCGGCAACGACACGGGTGGTGGTTATTCGCAATTAATCCGATCGCCGAGAAATCGATTTACAAAAAAAATTCGCAGAAATGTGTCCGAAAACCATTAATCGGACAGCAGCAAATGAGTAGGAGGCGGTTGAACCGGGTTTTAATCTTCGATAATCTTGAGATGCAGTATATAGGTATTATATAATATTAATATAATATAATATAATATAATATCTAGCAAATTTTTTTTTGTTAAGTGCCGATCATCACCAGCCGACCGTATGGCGGCGAAACGACCGGTATACCGCATATGCTGCAAATATATACTGAACACGATTACCGAACCGAAAGTGATTATCAGAGTCGAATTCAAAATCGGTAAGTATACAAGCTCGTTACCGACGGACGGTAATCCCAATAAAACAATAATGTTAATATGCAGTTTTCAAGGTTAGCCGTTATACTCGTTATAGTATAATATAATATAATATATGCAATGAATAATAATCATTGATGATATATAATATAATGGTAAATGCACTCTTGTAAGATATACAATGTTACAGAAACAAAACGTCTCAAGCGCGCGCGCGAAAACCGTCTGAATAAAATAACATTGAGGAGGACCCTTATTTTTATTCCGTGTCATAACGACCGCGGGGGTAACAGCGAACGGCGGCCGTCGACGACAAGGTATACCTTTTGCAGCAGTGGCGCGTGCGCAAGACCCTATACTTTTTTTCTTTCTCTCGTTTCTTTTTTTTTTACGGAAAAAAGGTCGAGTGCACGCGTAGCATATATACATTATACCTACGTCATGTGTGGCTCTAATAAACGTTTCTTTGTACAGTGTTATAGGCGAATATAGGGCGTCCTATGTACAGAGGTTTCGATTGTTTCCGGTGGATTCCCGCAAATGTCATCTCACCCCAGCGCACAAAAGTCAAACGCTAATGATAATAATATATTAATAATGATACTACGTGTATAGGTGCCCCGCGAGATAACGTAACCCTTCTTCAGTCGTGCAGGGCGGAATAACGAGCACCGACTGCAAGGAACGACGTGGTGATAATTAAGCTCGCGAAGGAGATCGAGCTGCTTGGTATATAGGTAAGGTATAAAGCCCGCGGATTATAGTTTGTGCGCGCGCGCGCCGCTCATCAAAGGGTTGTGGCGGAGGCGACACGACAAGGGCCCTTAAACGGGGAGAGATGTCGCAATATATTACGGCGGCGGTGACGGCCGCGGAATATAACGCCCACCCGAAATTGGATTCTCGTTTAGTCCCGTCCCGCTTCGTGCCCGCCACCGCTGCCATCGGCCAACAGAAACGAATTCAATTACGCCGGGTGAGCGCGGCACACTCAATAGCTACTTGATTACTCTTTGTATATAATCTTCGTCGCCGTTGTCGTTTTAAAGAAATTTATAACTAGGTACTATGCTGTAATAATACCCCACTAACATCCCCGCCCACCCACCAATGACCAGCTCTACTCTTTATCCTGTAACCGCAGTCACAACAAAACATTGAACAATGAACAAAACAAGTGTCGGTTCGTTTTTCGCAATTAAAGATGACGCTGTGCAGAGGTTTTCTTATCTCTCAAACGGGTAAACCTAAAAAAGTCATCGTGATCTGCATTTTCAATACCGTGGATTTTAAGTTAAATTTCAACTATCGTTAATACAACGGATGAGGAATAATATGTCCTATTCAACTACATATCTTTATATTATGATCTATGGGATTATATCACTTTTTAATCTCTTCTTATTCAATCTAATTTTAAATTCGTTTCTATGCCAAGTAAATATATATAGGTATACTATAGTCATTTTCCAGTTCAAAGCCCTGCTGAATGTGGTGTTAATATACAGAGCATTTGCCACAACTGACGATGACCCTAAAAAAAATAAAATGTCACCGTAGTTGGTCACTGCACCAGAGAAGTTACATGTAAGTTTATCAGGTCGTTACAGGGACATTCTGGAAACTATACATCAACGACTACGCCACCGCCACACACATCCATAAATTCCGACATTGTGATTAAATATTACTCTCCTGCAATCGAAATATTTACATAGATAAATGATAATATTCCGGGCATTATTCAATATTATTTTTTCTATTAAAGCATCTGGTATAAGTACCTAAGGTATTAAATAAATGAACGGTAAAGTTGACCGAAAGTAGATGATAATAACATTCTAATGACATAATGGTATACGTATTTTTCAAGCGTCAATATACGAAATTATTAGGTATTTATTTTTATTGATAAAAAAATTGAAAAATTATGGAAACCTAAATTGCGTGTGCAACATTCACGAACTCTTGCATATAAATACCATAATACCATATTGTTTCGTTTATATTGCGTATCAAAACAAAACATATCATATAATATTTTATATTATATATGTAAACTGTATGTTATATATAATATTCATATTTTTTATATTTTGTGTTGGATGTAGTTATGCAGATTTGATATACAAACGCATATTATGTGTTAAAAATATTAATCATACGATAAACTGTTCCAAGCCTATGGCGCATCTACCTATATTGCGCTCAACAAAAACCAGTCGTGTACTCGTGTTAGACCAATGATTTGATCACCATATGATGTATAATAGCTTATATTCAAAGGGAAATAAGTTACGACGTAAATAAGTCGTCATCAACCGTTACTTAAAACAGTTAATTATGAATTATATTATTATACTGTGATAGGTAGACAGGCAGACATGTATAGTTCCTGAATCCTAAGTAATTATTTTCGAACGTAATTTTTGAACGAACGTATCACGATTTCTGTTGAATGGACAAATAATATAGATACGTTGTAAATGTTGGCATTGTTTAAGAAAAATAAAAATTTTCAAATTAAATTCATAACAGAATTATGAATGACAATTTCGCGTAAAACGACAAAGAAATAGGTAGATAAAAATAATTAGTTCTCCAGAGTTTCTAAAAGGAACCACCATCAGAAAATGTTATTGTTTCTACAATTTAACAATATTTTTAGAATACATTTTTAGTGTTTATGTTTAAAGTCTTAACACTAACGAGATTTTTCAATCAGTATAATTAATAAATATAACGGTTCACTGGACATTATTTTTAGAAAGCGATGATTGGTAGATGTTGTTTTTTAAAGGGCTGGAATTAAAAAAAACTTGTCCACGTGTTCCAACTTCCAAGCATATTATTATCTATAGTTTATATTTTCGGTATTTGAAACATTTTTTTTCTTATGTCGACAGTCGACAACGCATAGATAGACGACGTCGTCAAAGAGAACGCAGTATTATTCTAGCTAAAATATTCCAAGAGTTCATGATTATTATAAAATATAAATTACTACAGCAGAAGCTAGTGTGTAATAATATACAATTAAATTATAATTAAATTATAAAATGGGAATGAAAAAATAAAAATTTAAAAACCAACCAGTCGTTGGTTCCGGTGGCGTGAATTTTCACTGTGGATACTTTAGGATGAAGTGGCAATATTTTTGATGGAACATAATAATGTTATTGTAATCTAATAAGTAATAACCTATAATAATATCGTTCCGCGAGCGCTGTTTCAGTCGACGTCCGATGGACAAGGCTGTGCGTGTGCAAGCGAT